GACAAAAAAATATTTTTCGAAATAAAAAAAAAAAAAAAAAAAAAAAGACCTTTACTAATATTTTTTGTACTGTGATATGTTGTAAAAATGCAATAATTAGGTGGGAAAGTTGAAACATTTAGATTTTGCAGATGATTTGCTTTGTAGATGATTCACCAGAGTGGAAACTGTGTGTGTGTTTACAGGTATTACAGTGTTCCTATAACAACTCTGGATTTCTCCTCACTGTATCCCTCCATCATGATGGCCCATAATTTATGTTACACTACACTCCTGCAGAAAAGCCAGGTGGAGAAACTCAGGTGAGAGGAGTGTGTGTGTGTTATGTACTGTAAAGCGTTAAAATGATAGTTTCTTCAAATTGCCTTGATTTTTTTTTTTTATTGTGATCTACTTCATTTTGTGAATTAATAAAGCTTTGTATTTGTGTGTGTGTGTGTGTGTGTGTGTGTGTGCACGTTTTTAGTCTTTCTCCAGAAGATTTCATCAAGACCCCCACAGGTGATCTGTTTGTGAAGAGCTCTGTGAGGAAGGGCCTTCTCCCTGAGATCCTAGAAAACCTGCTGAGTGCCAGGAAAAGGTGATTTCAACCATTAATAGAAATAAAGTTTGTTAAACTATTCACAACTGATGATAAATAGTTAAGTGTAATTAAAAATGTATTATTTTGCCCCAAATTAGTTTGTGTTCTGTATTTTTCTGTTATTCAAATCTTGGTCTCTTTTGATGTGCCTCTAGAGCAAAGGCAGAGCTGAAGAAAGAGACAGACCCCTTTAAAAAGCAGGTGCTGGATGGAAGGCAGTTGGCTTTGAAGATCAGTGCAAACTCCGTGTACGGGTTCACTGGGGCTCAGGTGGGCAAACTGCCCTGTCTGGAGATCTCACAGGTCAGTTTCAGCACTCACACATGGATGAATACCATCAGATGGTTTTAAACAGAGATGCTTTAAGAGATGCAGGTTTTTCTCTTTCATCTGTAGAGCGTCACAGGCTTTGGTAGGCAGATGATTGAACAGACCAAACAGCATGTGGAATCAAAATACACGATCTCTAATGGTTACCAGGCAGATGCAAAGGTATTTAATCACATAAACCTGTTTTTACCTTTGTTTCAATGCACTAAAAAAACATGCAATGATGCAAGTCAAATGTGTTTCAGGTCATCTACGGAGACACAGACTCTGTGATGGTGAAACTAGGTGTGGCCACAGTGCAGGAAGCAATGAATCTGGGAAAGGAGGCAGCTGATTGGGTCTCCTCCTACTTTGTTCCACCAATCAAATTAGAGTTTGAAAAGGTACAGAAAACACTCCCAAGATTTCACAACAGAAGCCATCAAATATTATTCGTAACAAGCTTAATAATCTCTTTCACACTTTTTCAGGTGTATTACCCATATCTGTTGATCAATAAGAAGCGGTACGCCGGGTTGTATTTCTCTTCTAATGCTGAACATCATGATAAGATGGATTGCAAAGGAATTGTGTCCAGTAATCGCAGTAATGGTGACCAGGTTGGGCTTTAAGTAAATCTACAGTTCATGAGTCTGTTATCTGAGATTCAACCCATAGCTTTCGTCTTAAAAGTGATCCTTTACCATAAAGCTACTTTTGTAACTTTATTATTTTCCGTTCAACAGGGTTCAGAAAACAAAAGGGAAATGAGAAAAAATTCAAACGTCACCCTAGGCAATATTTTATATATCCCACATATATTGCATTCGGTCATGTCCAAGCTATATTAAGGGTTACATACAGGTATTTGAAATCCCACATGAATCATACTAGAAAAATAATCTTTCTCATGCAACCTAGGTCATATGGTGAAATTATAGGAATTAAAAATATATATATTTCTTGCTAAGTTCCTCATTGTTTTAACAAAACTACATTTGGCCAAAAACATGTATTACCCAAAGCACTTACTACTGTGTGTGGCGATTTATAGCACACATCTGATTTTAATGAGATTTTGAGAATGACATTTCAAAACTACTATTATACTCACTGAATCAACTTTTCTGATTATGTTCAGAAAAACTGATGCCACCACCCTGGGGATACTATAATAACACATGATATACAGGTACATCTAAAAAAAATTAGAATATCATGAAAAAGGTCTATTTTTTGTCACTCATTTCAGAAAGTGAAACCAATATATTATATAGATTCATTACACAATGAAATATTTGAAGCCTTTATTTCTTGAAATTTTGATGATTATGGCTTACAGATAATGAAAACCCAAAATTCAGTGTCTCAGAAAATTTGAATATTACAAGATAATTTAAAAAAAAAAGAGGATATTTTAAACAGAAAAGTATGTTCATTTCTATGTACTCAATACTTGGTAGGGGCTCCTTTTGCATGAATTACTGTATCAATGCGGCGTGGCATGGAGGCAATCAGCCTGTGGCACTGCTGAGGTGGTATGGAAGCCCAGGTTGCTTTGATAGCGGCCTTCAGGTCATCTGCATTGTTGGGTCTGGTGTCTCTCATCTTCCTCTTGACAATACCCCATAGATTCTCTATGAGATTATCTATAATCAAGCACAGTAACACCATGGTCATTGAACCAGCTTTTGGTACCTTTGGCAGTGTGGGCAGGTGCCAAGTCCTGCTGGAAATTGAAATCAGCATCTCCATAAAGCTTGTCATCAGAAGGAAGCATGAAGTTCTCTAAAATTTCCTGGTAGAGGGCTGCGTTGACTGTGGACTTCAGAAAATACAGTGGACCAACACCAGCAGATGACATGGCAGCCCAAATAATCATTGACTGTGGAAACTTCACACTGGACTTCAAGCAACATGGTTTCTGTGCCTCTCCACTTTTCCTCCAGACTCTGGGACCTTGATTTCCAAATGAAATGCAAAATTTACTTTCATCTGAAAAGAGGACTTTGGACCACTGAGTAAGGTAAGACCACCCAGGTAAGACGCTTCTGACGTTGTCTCTGGTTCAGGAGTGGCTTGACATTTGTAGCCCATGTCTAGGATTCGTCTGTGCGTAGTGGCTCTTGATGCGCTGACGTCAGCCTCAGTCCATTCCTTGTGAAGCTCCCCCAAATTCTTGAATGGATTTTGCCTGACAATCCTCATAAGGCTGCGGTTATCCCTTTTGCTGGTGAACTTTTTCCAACCACACTTTTTCCTTCCACTCAACTTTCTATGAATATGCTTGGATACAGCACTCTGTGAACAACCAGCTTATTTAGCAATGAACTTTTGTGGCTTACCCTCCTTGTGAAGGGTGTCAATGACTGTCTTCTGGACATCTGTCAAGTCAGCAGTCTTCCCCATGATTGTGTAGCCTACTGACCCAGACTGAGAGACCATTTAAAGGCCCAGGAAACCTTTGCAGGTGTTATGAGGTAATTAGCTGATTAGGGTGTGACACCATGACTTTCCAATATTGAACTTTTTCACAATATTCAAATTTTCTGAGACACTGAATTTTGGGTTTTCATTATCTGTAAGCCATAATCATCAAAATTTCAAGAAATAAAGGCTTGAAATATTTCACTCTATGCGTAATGAATCTATATAATATATGGGTTTCACTTTCTGAAATGAGTGACAAAAAATATTGACCTTTTTCATGATATTCAAATTTTTTTAGATGTACCTTTACCTGTTGTAACACTTTATAAAGCAGATATAATGACTGAAAAGTTACCGTTTCAAATATAATTGGAGGTTTGAATATTGAGGAAATTACAGTCATCTGGCTAAAAGTCTCTTTATTCACAAAACATATAACTAGTTATCAATGTGGCAAAGGGAATGCATCACAAGTTTTGGTCACATGTTTAGCCTGAACCAAAACTATTACTGTCTCTCCAGTCAATCTAAAAAATAAAACAGAGAAACAGGAAAAAAAATGTATTGCCCTACCCAACCAAGCCTCATCACAGGTGGGAACAACTGGCATTTTACACAATTCATCATAATACATGATATGTTAATGTCCAATACAATGCTGGTATGTGTACTGAAATGGTTCAATATTAACTTTTACAAAAATGCAGGATTATACCTTAAAATACTGCTGGGAAAAATTAAAAAGCGAGCTTGATTTTTCTGAATTTTATAATTATAGAAGACCTACATTATGTGTAGGACAGTTCAGTTTTATTCCAAGCCATGAGAACAATAAAAAACCTAGGGAGAAATGGATTCTGGGATGGTGATGAATGCAAAGAAAAATAGTGAAAATAAAAGAAACCCCCTTTGATGGTGAAATTACATTTTTAGCAAGTACTGAAAACATTTTCTAAATAAATCCCACAATGCATGAGGTGGAAACACTTCTTAAGGAGTACAAAACATTATATTAGTGGTTTTGAATGCGGTGACCACTTGTTCTACTGTGCTTTCCCACAGGCCACAAAAACTTTAGGGGACTTTTGAGCTTCCTCATTCCCGACCACCGTTAACAGAACCAAGCGGATGTGCTGATTGGCTCACAAAGTTTTGAGGAGATGAGACATGATCAGGCTTACTTAAAAAGAGTTACCCATTACCGACTTAAAGTATATCCCTTCACCACCTCATTAATTTGTTATAAAGGTCAAAGTTCCTTGCTGCTGTGATTTTAAAGTACGACTGTAAAACTATGACACACATCAGGTCCTTTTAGCACAGAAGGGGAAGCAGCAGCATAAGGTTGATGAGTCCACTCGAGACCATTTTATCCAAGTTTGATAGTCACATCAAAAACTGTCTTTTCCAAATCAATTCCACAGTTGCTCGATTCTCATTGAGGTCTCATGCTCACATACATACAAACACATACAATAGCCAGTCAGGTTCCTATTCCTCAAAGGCTGGTGGCGAAAGAGAGAGTGATAAGAAAAGGAAATGGGGTGTGTATGTGTGTGTAATGCTACAGTAGTGTGTGTGTGTGTGTGTGTCTGTGACCTTGAGTGCATTGCTATCACGGGGGTGCAGTCCAAGGCTGTACGTGTGTATCGCTATAAAAGAGTGCAACGTCTCTGTGTGTGCTTTTTGCTCTTCTTATTGCTGCGGTTAGTCTCCTTGTATCTTCGGATCTCCCGCACGAGAGAGTAAAACGCCTCTTCAACTCCCTGCAGACAGAAAAAGACAAGATAGATTTAGAACAAATGGTGCTTTTTAGCAACATGCTGAAGAAAAATCACAAAAGTTTGTTTAAGTTTGGATTATGAAATTACAAACATGATACTTTTACTCTGATTAAAGTAAAAATAAACAAAGGCACACTTGTGCGGTCATCACCATCATTGTGTCTTCAGGTTTGCTGGCATGTTTCTGGTGGGCTGGGTTTTGGAGAGGGCATGTGTGACTGAAGTCTGGTACACTGTTTTATAATCTCAAAACTTATCAAACTGCTCTGTAATATTCAGCTTGATGTTTCTCAACCACTTGGTTTGATATTTCATCATCTAATGCAGCCACATTCATACATTGTTAGGAAACATTCACACAGCACACGTGCTGCCATTCTGTTGTTTGTTTGTTTTTTTCAAAATTTGCTTGATGAAAAAATCTTTGATTGTTGCACATGCATCTCACATCTTTTGCAGAGTCTGACACATGAACCCCGGGCTGGACTCCACTTCGTCTACGGTGAAAGTTGATGTATTCCCTCAGCGACCAGCACAGATAAGCTCTAGGCGTGACAAAGTGGATATCGTCCTCTTTTGAAAGACCAAACAAAGTAGTTTCGCTTTCACAACGAAGCACACAGCGTCTTCACGACATGGCTGCAGCGTCAACAATACTACAGTGAGACTAAAAGTTATGCCTTCTTTCTTTGCGTGAACATTTGGGCGGCGTTATGCAAATCTTCCCACATAGTGAGGTAGATATGTGGGGGGGTGTTAGAACAAGCCGTTTTAGGTAGGTGTGGCTGACTCTGAACTTTTATAAAGAATATCTCTTTGGATTTGAGACTTTAGTCTTTGCAACTTTACAGATCTTCTTTATGCACCAAGAGCTTGTAACACTCCAAAGAGAAAGGAAAAATTTTAATCGCATCATATGATCCCTTTAATTATTTCTATTGGTTGCCATGCCAAATCACGCACCTGCTTGCTTTTCTGTTTAAGTGTTTTTGTGAACGTATATGACACTCCAACAAATAATTGTAACATTTTACAATAAGGTTCCATTAGTTAATGTTAGTTAATGTATTAAAGTGTTAGTTAATTATTGTAAAGTGTTACCCAAATAATGTATTTTGAGTGCTCACTTGAAACTAAGCGCAAACCTTAAACCCCCCCCCCCCCCCCCGCTTCGGCCCCCCCCAGAAATATAAAAGCCACCCCAAGTCATGCGTCCTGGCGCCGGGCCTGAGTATAAGTGATTGTGTCTAAAAAAAAAAATTGTAGGAAACCGTTTGGGCACCTTTGCCAGAGACCCCCCCTCCCCCACCTGCTTCGGCCCCCCCAAGAAATATAAAAGCCACCCCAAGTCATGCATCCTGGCGCCGGGCCTGAGTATAAGTGATTGTGTCTAAAAAAAAAATTGTAGGAAACCGTTT